ACCCCGTTATAGTACTGGCCTTCACAACACCCTCTGGAAAGGAGTTCCAGAGGTTGACAGTGCATTGCGTGAAAAAAATACTTTCTTGTGTTTGTTTTAAACCTGCTACCTATTAATTTCATTTGGTGGCCCCTTGTTCTTGTATTATCAGAAGGAGTAAATAACACTTCCTTATTTACTTTCTCTATACCACTCATGATTTTACAGACCTCTATCATATCCCCACTTAGTCACCTCTTTTCCAAGAGGAAAAGTCCCAGTCTTATTAATCTCTTGTCATATGGAAGCCATTCTATACCCCTTGTTGCCCTTTTCTGAACCTTTTCCAATTCCAGTAATCTTTTTTGAGATGGAGCGACCACATCTGCACACAGCATTCAAGGTATGGGCGTACCATGGATTTGTGTAGAGGCAATATGATATTTTCTGTCTTATTATCTATCCCTTTCTTGATGATTCCCAACAAAAGTAGCAAAAAATGCTGTAACAAATGGAAAAATTTATACAGAGATCCTCTAAGCAGGAGTTTAAAAATCTGATTAAAAATGAACTAAGAGGAGTGGCAGGAAGCAAAGACAAAAGAAACAAGGGGGGAAGATTTCATAAAGCATGCCCTAGAATTGAAAATGCTGACCTACTGCAAGAACCTGAGAGAGAGTGAGATAGCTCTACTCTAAATACTTGCAGGACACTAGCTTAAACAGTAACTTGGCCTTTATTAATAAACACAAAGATGGGCTGTGTGAGACATACAAGGGAAAAGAAATGGCTGATCACATTCTCTAGGAGTGTAAAAAGTGCAATGTTGATGGGGGATTTTATATGACAAACCCAGGCACCTAAAAATGACAAATTTTACACTAAAATACCTAATAAGAACATCAGGAGAATAGGGTACCATAAAGAAAGCAATATTAATGATTTTTAAAATACTGGGGAAAGAGGGACAGTAACTATATATCATAAAATCCAGCAGCTGGTGGGTATCCACTCAGAATGTCAGTCTGCTACACCATAAAATACAAGAACAGAGTAGACACTGGCTGGGGGGCTGCCATGCTGAACTTTCTTGACAGCTCAATTAGAAAGGGTGCTTAACTGAAGGAAACTGGGAAAGACCATACAGCTGACTTAAATTATGAAGCCCAGCTCTAAGAAAAGGGCTGAGAGGAGCTCCTGTTTCAAGAGACAGATAGATTTCCCTAAGGCAAGTGGCCTGAGACACCTGCTAGTAAAGGATAGCCTGAAGCCTAATTAAAGAAAAGGCTCCAGGTGAGAGAAAAGCTTGTACAGGCATTAAAGCTGGCTAAATCTCAACTCAGCTCTAGAGGGAAGAACTAGAGAACCTGTTGAATGGAACCTAGCCCCTTACTTATGTTTATGACTATTGTTAATCAATAAGGCTGTTGGAAGAGGGGTTCCTTGTTGAAATTTTGTCTGGACTGACTGTAACCCAGCTGAAGAGAAAAGAGGCTGAACCCACCTGCCATGCCATGCCTAACTGAAAAGGGGTGCTCTGGTTGATCTCCCTGTCATCAGACTTATATTTTCAGTTGCTTCTAGCTCTTTAATTGTTGAGTGCTCTGTGGTGAAGAATATGTATGCTGCTTTGGTTGCATTGACACAAGAAACTGAATGTTCTTTTACATAGGTTGATTGTTTCCCTTTCTCAATCTCCCAATTCTTCTCTGTAGCTAGGGTTTAGTAAATCACATGTACCCAAAATACCTGTCAGAAGCACTGTAGAGTTTTTATTGATGTTTTGTTCCAGTTAGTGTAGTTCTGCTTGAGCCTCAGATGTTACTCCTATGTACTGAAGTTGGATTATGTTGTCATATAGTTTTATAGGTTGGCTTCTTATTGGTGTAAAAGGTCCAAAGAGCTTTTCTTCTAATTCTTCTGAAGCCAGCAGGAAGTACTCCAATGCTTTTTTTTTATGATGCTGAGGAATGTACAGTTCAATGTGTATTCTAAGTTTCAAATTCATTTTGGTAGTTTTTGTTTTTTAATCAATATTTTTACCTTGGTATACAGGTTGATTTGTAAAACCAAGTACTTGCAATATGTTTCTAGTAACTGTAGATTTCTTTAAACCCCATTTTGTGTGGGTAATAGACTAGCCCCACAGAGCAGGCATTTTATGTCTCAAGTGTTTAGAGGAGGTTCCAGGTTAGAGAATTAAGGTAGACATCCCTGTCTGTCTTCTCTTTCTTGTTTGAAGGCCTCTGTATGCATATGTATGTTAGTGAACTGGTATAGACATTTAATTGTTATGTTTTTTCCACTGGTTTTGCTTTTGTAGCCATTTAAAGTTCAGACCTAAGTGCCAAATGTTGTCAAAATGTTTTGAAAAATCTGCAAAGCAGGCCACTATTTTTTTTATTGTCAAATACCTTGGATTTGTTTACTGCTGTGTTTTAGTGTTTAAATAATTATATTCTCTGGCCACATGATTTCTTCAGCTTGAGTTTATGGGATTTCTTTCAGTTTTTATGTTTACATTGGTTTGCCAAATAGAGTTTGGTACGCTATATTCCCAGTGTTTTTATGAGAAATGTCAATTTGCTTTTATGACAGGTTTCAGAGTGGTAGCTGAGTTAGTGTGTATCAGCAAAAAGAACAAAGAGTACTTGTGGCACCTTTAGAGACTAACAAATTTATTTGGGCATAAGCTTTCCCTGCATGCATCTGAGGAAGTGGGTTTTAGCCCATGAAAGCTTATGCCCAAATAAACTTGTTAGTCTCTAAGGTGTCACACGTACTCCCCGTTCTTTTAGTTTGCTTTTAGCTTTTCAAACTGGATTTCTTCTGGTTTTTTTTTTTTTTGGGTTTTGTTTTTGTTTTTTGTTTCTTTGAAGTTTGTCCAGATTTTACTATTCTGGATTCCTAGATTTTGTTTATATTTATTGGGTTTAAAAATTATTTTGTATATAATTTTTATCTGATATAATTTTGTTTCTAGGTTTGTCTGGTATTTGTTTCTATCGAGTGTTGGGTTTTTTTATTTGTGTCAGTTTCTTATTCAGATAATTCATATAATTGATTTGAAATTTCTCAGTGGTTCATGCTGAACATCGCGTATATTTTCTGTGTTTTTTTTGACTGGCTGAGTCCTTTATGTAACCCTTCTGCCCGTCAGAGTTGGCAGCAACAAGGGCCGGGTTCAATATCTAGGGGTTCCATTCCAATAACACAATGCAAACCGGCTCGAGCCCCCACCCAGTGACCTGGGACAAATATATACCACCCCCGCTGGGCGCCTCCAAGAGGCAATACTTCCCCTCTCGCAAGCACATAGTCTAAGTGTAGCAAAAGCCTTTTAATAACAGAGAGAAACAATGTGGCATTATGTTGGGGAAACACCACCAACAGGATTCATAACACAACCCATGAGCAACAAAAAACCCACCCCAGGCAAATTGGGGCATGCCCTTTTCCCTTTGGTTCTTGAGTCCAGCAACCCCAAATCACCCAAAGTCCCAAAAGCCCAATGCCCCAAAAGTCTCTGTCCCTGGTCAGGGCAGCCCCAGAGTTCGAAAGTTTATCTGCGGAGCTTTACCTCCCAACCTGGGTGGAAATGGGACGGGGGTAAGAGGCACCTTACGTGATCTGAAGCTGACCGCCCCATAGCTCCATAGCGGCGCTCCGCTCCGCCAGCCGCCCCACGAACTCCTCCGCTCCGCTAGCCGCCCCACGAACTCCTTTGCTCAGCTGCGCTCCGCTAGCCGCCCCACGAACTTCTTCGCTCCGCTCCGCCAGCCACCCCACAAACTCCTTCACTCAGCTCCACGGCCCACAAGCAGCTCCTGCCATCCACACACTGCTCCGCGTCAAACTGCTCCACAATATATCTTCAGGCTCCCCCACTACTTAACACAACACTCAGTGATTTCAGCTCTTAGGTGAATTCAGCTTGTAGTAGGGGAGCCCCAGTGCTGGTGCACTGTCAGCCCAAAGTGAGCTCAGCAGCCTGTAACTAGACTTCTAATGAAATCAAAATTAGCTCTGATATTCCACAGTGGAGAGAGGAGGAAGTGCAATTAGCAATATAAGGCCCTCACCAAGGGGCCCATGCCACCAAGTATTATTACTTGTCCCCAGTCTCTCTCCATTCACACAGTTTTGGAACCCATGACCCTTGCCTAGCGAGTGCTACTTAGTTGATGGTGAATCCCTCCATCATAACAAAAGGCCACGTACAGTTCCAAGCACAGTTCCCATAATCAGGGTAATAACAATTTATTCTTGAGACACTGGGGATCCCACAGCAGCCAAAGTGACCATTTGGGCAGCTATGGTCTCATTCTAGGCGGGGTGGGTGTGCCTATGCAAATGAGATCAGCCCCTGAAGTTCTTTTCCACAACTTGCCACACCTCACCACCAGATGTCAGGGTGGAGCTCATCCTGACACTGCTTACATCTACTTTGCTGTGTTTTTTTGACAGTCCTAGTCAAAGAACTTTTCTTGTTTTCTCCCTCTTTCTGAGCAACAGTTCTGGATCTGGTTGTGAGCAGTGGGATTGCTTTGTGACGCTCTTCAGGGGTTTGTACATTTTTATTTATTTATTTTTTATTTTTAGTGGCAAGATTAACCTCTTTGTGCAGGGATGTATCCCTCTGGAGTTCGAGGGATGGCATTGTCAGCGTCCCCTCATAATTCTTCTGTGTCCCCATAAAAGCTTATTTGGGGGTCTATGCAGTTTGGGTGGTGCTGAAGAGGTTGGCAGCATTGGCAGAGTCTGTCAGGGGAAAGAACTTTTCTGGATTTGATCTCTGCCTGCTTTGATTTCTGGGTTTGATCTCTACCTGCCTGTGGGACGTGGGGCAGGCCTGAAGCCCGGCCCTGTAGCACGGGCAAAGCATTAGGCTGGCGCTTTGCTCGGTAAAAGGCGGGGACGCTGCGCCGCTTCCTTCCCCGGCTCGGGGCGGGCCTGGGAGGCCCATCGCCCTGTGCAGGGGCGGGGTGCTGAAGCCGCCGGTCCTGTGCTGGGGGCGGTGCCGCCGCCGGCCAGTTCCTGGTTGAGCGGCAGGGAAGGCGGGCAGCATGCTGAGGCGGCCGGGGCCCGGGCTGGGCTCAGCGCGGCTCTCGCTGCTTCTGTGCTGGCTGCGCCTCTGCCTGGCCGGCAGCGCGGCGGCCCCGCACCTGGTGGTGGTGCTGGCCGATGACCTGGGCTGGCACGACGTGGGCTGGCACGACTCCCTCATCCGCACCCCGCAGCTGGATGCGCTGGGGGCGGGCGGGGTGCGGCTGGAGCGCTACTACACGCAGCCCCTGTGCACCCCGTCCCGCAGCCAGTTGCTCACCGGCAGGTACCAGGTAGGGCAGCAAACCCGGTCCTAGCGCCGCCTGGGCAGCCCCCAAGCCTAGCGGGGCTCCAGGGGCGGACAGGGGCTCCCCGGAGTTGGGGGAAGGGGGGGGGTTCCCCGCAGTTGGCGGCGTGTGGCACTGGCTTGTCCCTCAGCTACCTGGGTGGGAAGGCCTCTCCCGGCCCCTCTGAGCCCTCCCCAGTCTCAGCAGGGAGGCTGCAAGTCTGTACAAAGTTCTCACCGAGGGCCGTGCTGCTGCCGCCCCCGGCTGGCAGTGTGAGGCGCTTCTCTCCGGCGGCGGTGCCTTCCCCCGTCCCAACCAAGGGTGACCCTTTCTTAAGCTCCATTGGTTGTAGGGCTATGTTGCTAAAGGTATTTAGGCAGCTAAAGATGCAGGGAGGCACCTCATGGGGGTTTTGAAAGGCCCAAATGATTTTTAGACCATGGGATTTAGGCTCCTGGAAAAATTTACCCCGAGTTCTCTGCATACCTTAGCTAAGTCCAACAGAATTAGTGGAAATTATTATTTTTAGAGCCAAGTACAGAGGAAGAAATAACAAACCCTCACAGGAATTTGGGCTCCTTTAGTAAAGATGACAGGGTATAGTGACAGATCATATAGACTCATTTGGGTGGGAGAGCCCTCTAGTGGGTTCTTGTAGTGTCTCCCTCTGCATGGTGGCAGGATTGTATTATAGTAGACTAGGATGGGCAATAATTTTTGCGGGGGGCCACTCCACGAATTTTAGTAAGTTGTCATGGGCCACATATTTCTACTATATTAATAGCAAGGGTGTGGGGTCTGGATGCAGGGGGGAACTCTGGGCTGGTGCTGAGTGTTGGGGTGCAGGAGAGGGTGAGGAGTGTGGGCTCTGGGAAGGAGTTTGGTGCAGGAGGAGACTCCTGGCAGGGGATTGGGGTGTAGGAGGGGGTACAGGGTCTGGGAGGGAATTTGGGTGCAGGAGGGGGTTCTGATCTGGGGCAGGGGGTTGAGGTGTGGGAGGGGGTGCAAGGTGCAGGCTCTGGCCTGGAGGCGCTTACCGCAGTCAGCAATGCAGCAGGACTCAGGCAGGCTGCCTGCCTGCCACAGCCCCATGCTGCTCCTGGAAGTGGCTGCAGCCAGCTGCTGCTGGCACTTCTCTACGGTGCGCCCCTTGGGGGGGATGGGAGCAGCAGGTCTCTGAGCTGCCTGCCCCCGCAAGCGCTGCCCCAGCAGCTCCCGTTGGCCAGTTTCTCACCAATGGGAGCTGTGAGGACAATGCTGGGGGTGGGGGCAGCACGCGGAGCCCTCTTCCCCTGCCCCCTACTCCAGGAGCATGCAGATTTGTGCCAGCAGTAGCTGGCCGCTTCCAGGAGCGGCATGGGGCCACAGCAGGCAGGCAGCTTGCCTGAACACCCTGCTGTACCATGGGACTTTTAGTGGCCTGGACTCGGAGATCACGAGGGGCCAGAAATGTTAGTCATGGCAGGCCAGACAGAAATGCTAGATGGGCCGGATCCAGCCCACGGGCCGTATTTTGCCCACCCGTATAGTAGACACTTGTTAGTAGCAACATATCAGTGCCTTTTGCTATCTACTCGTAAGTGGCTATTGCTGTTATGGGGAGTGTTGACAATTCAAAGGGAAAAGTGTTTCATTATATGGGTTAAACTTGTCAGGTGTGTTTCTAGCCTATTGCGTATCATCAGTGGTGGTGGTGATGCCCAATCAAGAGAACTTAACTTCTTGCTTGTCAGCAAGACCATACCATAGTAGCTTCCTGTAAATTCCCCAAGCAAAAACATTCTGTAATGTAAAAGCTCTGAGCTCTTCAGATTGTATATAAACTTGAGTACATTTTCTGATACCTTCTTACACTAGGGCTGAAAACTGTTTTATCAGAATTACTTGTCCTTTCAAATATCAAATTTAGTTAACTTCTACAGTGCTCCATCACTGTATAAAAAAACCTTAAGTGCCTTTGAAACTTTAAAAGAAACACAAAGATAGTGCAAATATTTGATTTAGTGATGTGATCCCTACTGACATTTCTAGAATGGTGAAATTTGTGTGTTTTGGTTTTCATTTTGTAACTCACCTTGAGAGAGGGCTATAGGTGTTTAATATACATTAGTTACCTAGCCTATAAACAATCATCTGCACACTGGTTAATTCTCTGTTGGCTTAGCTATGTTAGAAGAATGGACTAATGGTAGTGAACACACCCATTTAGCTTTGACCTTTTTTCTAATGTGGATGTTACAACACATTTTACTTCAACTGAGTAGTTCAAAGTATACCCTATATACTGAATTTTGGTAAAAGATGTTGCATCATGTCTGTATAAGAAAAAAGGTCAAGACTAGCCCTGACCTATTCCTGAACTGTTAGTGTAACAAAAACCAAACTACAACAGTCTTCTTCCACCCAGATCCATCACATTGTCCTACCTGGGAATTTGAATATGTGATGGTGTGGAGCAGGCAGGGAGAAGAACAGAGAAAAGGCAGGTTGGAGAGGAGCAAAGGTGATCCCATGGTTCTTTAGCATCCCTGGCCTGGACTCTGGATTTATGTTCACCTCTACCTTCCAAAGCACTGGGATAGGTAGTGTGGTGCCATTGGCTGCCCCAGCCTATCATGCACACAAACCTCCTTTGTAACATGGACATGCTATCCTAACGAGGGTACATGCTGCATAGAGAGGCTGATCCCTGACTGAAGTGAGCTGTAGCTCACGAAAGCTTATGCTCAAATAAATCTGTTAGTCTCTAAGGTGCCACAAGTACTCCTTTTCTTTTTCCTTCCCCCTGTCTCCCAACTAGGAGTCAAGCCACACATTGCTTTGTGCTTCATTTTCACCCCTTAATGTAAATATTTTGGAAGTGCTTGTGACTTTGTACAGACTTGCAAAGGAGGGATGCTATCTCATAGTGTTCTCTTCCTTCTGTGTGGCTCCTGGCTCACTCTTTGAGGGATTTTTTTTTGTGATTTTTTTTTTTTTAATTCCTCTGCATTGTACAGCGGCATAGAGCATTTATCTTAAATGCAAGAATAACTTTAATTTTAAAATCAAGGTGTTTGTTACATCAGGTATTAAAAATAAAATAAAAATTGGACGAACACAAAAATGACTTTAGAACCAAGCCATAAATAGTGATAACATTCTCTTGTCTAGGTATCTTTGTAGAAGCCAAGTCATAGTTTGATTTACTCTTCTATAAAATGTCAGAAATCCACTTCTGTATCTGTACCCTAGACACATGACAAATTAAAAAATAAATAGGAAAGTCTTCTTTAATGCAGGACTAGACTTTATATTGAGGTCATAATAAGCCTTCTTCCTCCCTCTTTCCCTGACTCTTCAGACTTAAAGGTCCTGTTCATAGCTTGACTCAAATATACAGCCACATTTTGATTACTCAGATTCACCTAAATGGAGGGAGTGTGTGTGTGAAAGCACTTCTATGGAGCCTTGCATCATCCATCTGATTTACAGAAAAATGGGCATAGCCATGTGAGACTAGAGCAGTGGTCCATCTAGTCCAGTGGTCTCCTATCTTTTTACGCACAAGATCACTCTTTGAATTTAAGATCAACCCAGAATCTACCCCACCCCTTGCCTGAGGCCCTGCCCTGCTCACTCCATTCCCCCCTCCCCATTGCTCGCTCACTCACTTTCACAAGGCTGGGAGAGGAGATTGGGGTGCAGGAGGGAGTGCAGGCTCTGGGCTTAGGCCTAGGGGTTCGGAGTGTTGAAGGGGGCTCTGCGCTGAGCTGGGGGCAGGGGGTTGGGGTGCAGGAGTAAGGGGTGCAAGCTCTGGGGGGGAGTTTGGGTGCAGGAGGGGGCTCCAGGCTGGGTCAGAGTTGGGGTGCAGGAGAGGGTGAGGGGTGTGGACTCTGGCAGGGAGTGCCTTAACGTGGCTTGTGTAGTCACAGCATAGCGCTCAGAGCTCTTAAAAAAAACAAGAAACAAACAAACAACCCACCTCCACGAGGGGAATAGCTACCAGCGCTGGGAGTGCAGCTACACTGGCACTTTACAGCGCTGAAACTTGCAGTGCTCAGGGGTGTGTTTTTTCACACTGAGCAAGAAATTTGTAGCGCTGTAAAGTGAGTGTAGACAAGCCCCTCGGCAATGCCCACCGAGACATGCCTGGACTTGTGTTTTCCAAGCACGTGGACTGAGTATAAAACAGATGCAGTGGCCACATGCTGGGCCTTTCTCCTTCACCCAGCTATGCTGCAAGCAAAAAGGACGCTCTGAAGACCCCAGCTGAGGGGACTGACTCAGATTTCAAGGGTGAAATCTGTATATTAAGGACTGCAATATCCAGTAGGGTGAGAGAAACTGCTTAGTCATTGCCTAGTCTAATAGGGTTGAGAGTTTAGACTGCATGCTTATATTTTATTTCTTTTGGTAACTAACTCTGACTTTTTGCCTATCACTTGATATCACTTAAAATCTACCTATTATAGTCAATAAATTTGTTTAACTGTTATCAGTGAGTTTGTATGAAGTGTGGGGAAAATCTGCTCAGGTTTTGCAAAGGCTGGTGTATATCCACTTTCCATTGATGAAGTGGTGAACCAATTAATAAATCTGCACTACCCATCTTCAGCAGTGCAAGATGATATATTCCTGAGGTACAGTGCTGGGGCGGATTTGGCTTTGGTGCCTTTCTCTTTGTGATTCACGAGTGGCTCTGGGAGCACTCGTGCAATCTTCTGGGTCTCCACATGTGGTTGTGCTGAGTGATCACAGCGCCTGGAGGGGTTTGCTTGTGGTCACTAGCATGGCATTGTGAGAGACAGCCCAGGCTGGAGAGAGTTCAGGGTTCACAGTGGTCCCACAGTCCCAGGCTGCACCCTAGGGATCCCATCAGTCACCATACTGAGTTTTTGGTTGGCTAAATAAACATGTGCTTTCTTTACTAATGATGGCTTGCCATCGTACAATTGTAAGCCAACAAGTAGTACAAAAATTTTATAGGCTTTCTTTGGAAGAAAGCTGGGGTTTTATCTGATTCCTGTGCAGGCAGTCTGTAAAGTACTTCTGGAGTCTTCTAGCAAATGCTTTATGTAAGATGGAATTGTGAGACTCCAGACTCCTTTTATGTGTATATTTTAAAATATTGATACAATGCTTTCATAGCATACATTGCCATCATGCTGTAACTAATACCTGCATTGGGTTTATTTTTCCAAGATCCATACAGGTTTACAACACCAAATAATTTGGCCTTGCCAGCCCAGCTGTGTCCCATTGAATGAGAAACTCCTGCCTGAACTGCTGAAGGAAGCAGGATATGTTACCCACATGGTAGGGAAGTGGCATCTAGGCATGTACAAAAAAGAGTGCCTCCCAATCCACAGAGGATTTGATACTTACTTTGGTAATGGCCAGATTTACTTTTTTTTTTAAAGTACTTTTACTAACCATATTGAAAGGGGAAATATTTTTTAACAACAAACTCAAAATTAACATATAGCCAGTAAAACAATGTTTTAGTTATTTCAGCACATGATACAAAATACAGTTTTCTAATTTAGCAGACTACACTTGATAGATAAACGTTGATATCCAAAAGCCTATTGCTGAAAATCATCTGATTTTTTTTTAAACCCACAGAAGCAAATATGTTTATATTTTAAGCTCCACATTTAACTTGTCCCATTGTGCTCAGTTACTCCACATGTTGCATGAGTGTGCTCTTAGAGGAAGCTTTAAACTGAAATTTTCATATGTCTAGGTTTAGGTCAGACTTCTAACTTTATTGTAGTTTGTGTATTGCGTTTTTTTTAATAGCAGTGTCTTAACTAGAAAAGCAATAGGCATTTTACCAGACTCAGTCATTTTTCTAAATACAATATATATTTCTTGAATTCATTAGGAACTCAGATACTACCATGGTCAAGGTGTTACAAGAACCTAGATTAAATTACATTTAAAACAAACTGTTAAAGGAACTTTAGAGTTGCAAAGTTAAGCACTCAAAACTTTGGCACTGCCAGAATTAGGATACCTGTGTAACTTTAATTTGGCCCTGTTATGAGTATGCATTACAATACAGTCTTTAATTGCATGAGCTCATACTGTTTTTTCACAGGAGTCCTGCCTCATTAAGTTACTGGTTAGTTATTAAATGTTTCCTTTTTATCGTCCACATTTCATATGTGACTCCAGGCCTTAATGTACACCATACAAGCACTGCACTGAATACAAAACTATTTACTTTCTCCTGGGCTTTCTGTGATGCTCTCACCGAAGTATCTGAGTGCTTCATGAACATTAATGAATTTATCTTCGCAACACCTGTCGTCACCTTACATCACGTTACCTGTGAGGTGGGGACCTGAAGCACAGAGATTAGACACTTGCCAATTTTTGTTGTTAATAATTTTGGGTGCTCGGTATGGGAGGGAGGCAATTTATTTTTTGGAGTTCTTAGCTCTTTATATGTTCAAACCATGATTCCAGTTGAGCTGTGAATATGTTCAATGCTTCTGCAAATCTGGCCCCATCTGTCTCAGGCTGGGCATTGAGAGAAACTGTCAGCTAGTGGTCCAAATCACAAATGCTCTTTTTTAAAAACAAAACCTAAAAACCCCATAATTTATTTCTGGTTTTCAAGAGCATATTTTTGATCTTTCCTTTAGAAAGCTCTTCCACTCCTTTCTTTGACATTCTCTGCATCTGTGGAGTTTTGCACATACACAATATGGTATAGTTGGAAGTTATTTTGCTAGACCTTTAGTTTTTTTGTTTTGTGATGGGGTGGGTTAGCAGAATAAATGTTTCTGCTCAAAGTCCTGGATTGTGAAACTGAATCTGTCCCCCCACACTGAGCCTAAATTTGATTGCCTTTAGGGTATGCTTTGCAACGTTCCCCTATTATTCTGGAGAATTTTTGGGTGGTGAAGTTGGGGCTGATTTAGGGATGAGATTGCAAAGGGTTTTTGAGACAATTTCATTGCTTCCAGTCAATGGGAGTTAAAGCTGTACAGTACTTAATAAGATTGGACCCTTGATGGAAGCAAAATTTGTAGGAGAGCCTTATTTTTGATTCTTAAGATCAATAATTTATTCTGTAAAGAAGGATTTGTTTCTTTCACCAGTTGGTGTCAGCAGTAGATCGGAAATCATCTCACAGATTACAGGAATGCCTTCCATGTGAACGATCTGTTACCAATCTATAAACATAAACAGTACAATAATTCCAGTATTCATAGTATCTATTTAGATATAAGTGTTCTGTACTAACAAATACAGTTTACAAAACCATAACTAAGTTATTCTAGTTAGCTACAGGCTCATGACATGTGCATCATTTTAATGCTAGTATCTTTGATTTATATGCATGCCAATTTATATGTAAAGTTATTGAACTACTTTTAAAAATTTTCTGGGTTTGTATAATTGTTGCATAGAATTAGATTTTGTGCTTTATTTTCAAATAAATACAAGATGAGAAATGTTAAGGAATGTTGGACTGATTAGCCTTGTTTTTTAAAAAAAGTGAAACTGATGGTGTAATTTTTCTAAGGCACAAAGGGCAATTTGCCACTCAACTCCCTTTGTGCCCTTTGAAAGTCCTCTACTGATGTATTAGTTTATATATAGTAAATTATATATTGGGTTGCTCACTTGGTCATCTTTTTCCTGTTCTAGGTTATCTTCTGGGAAGTGAAGATTATTATTCCCATGAACGTTGTGTATTCATCAGTGCAAAGAATGCAACACGCTGTGCTCTTGATTTTCGAGATGGAGAAGAAGTTGCAGTTGGATTTGGAAACATGTATTCCACTAATGTATTTACGAAAAGAGCTGTAGATCTTATAGCCAGCCATAAAACTGAGAAGGTACAGTAACAGCAGTTGCTTTTTTGAGAACTTACTTTACAAGTTTCTTAATATTTTCATACAATATTTATTTATAAGACTTGAGCTTGCTTTGTAAACAATAGCTGATAAATATCTAGATACAGAGCTGCATTTATGATAACTCTCACTGTCTTATCAGCGTAGCTGGCCTTGTACTGCTTTCTCACAGGAACAAAGATCTACACTAAACCTAGAGTTAAATAGGACTTACTCTCTTATGAGTGCAGGTTTTGCAAAATAGAGATTACTGATTTGGGCCTATTTTCTAGTGGATCAAAGTGCACTTAACTAAAAAGTTCAGCAAATAGAAATAGACAGTATTGCATTGACGCTTTAATGTTCAAAGCCCTTATAGAGTAGAATCTCAGTGTTGTGAACACCAAAGTTATGAACTGACCAGTCAACCTCATTTGGATCCAGAAGTATGCAATCGGGCAGCAGCAGAGACCATTTTAAAAAAAAAGGCCAGTACAGTACTGTGTTAAGTGTAAACTGCAACAAAAAAAAAATTGACGAGGTAAGGCAACTGTTTCTGTGCTTGTTTCATTTGAATTAAGATGGTTAAAAGCAGCATTTTTCTTCTACATAGTAAAGTTTTCAAAACTGTATTAAGTCAATGTTCAGTTGTAAACTTTTGAAAGAACAACCATAATGTTTTTTGTGCAGAGTTATGAACTATTTCCATTCTCAAGGTATTTGTAACTTTGAGGTTCTACTGTATTGTATAACTTGGTGCACATAATAGTTGAAAAGACTTCTACAGGAGATACAGTGTAGGATGGGGCTGGATGTGAATGAAGAAGATCTTAATCATTTCACAGAAAAATAATTAACAACATAGCTTTACTTCATAAAAGGGACATTCTTTATACAATGTTCAAACTCACAAGCCAGGAAAGTTTCCCTCATAAGAATCATCTTCCTTATTAAGATGAAAACAGAAAAGGAGGACTTGTGGCACCTTAGAGACTAACCAATTTATTTGAGCATAAGCTTTCGTGAGCTACAGCTCACTTCATCAGATGCTAGCTCACAAAAGCTTATGCTCAAATAAATTGGTTAGTCTCTAAGGTGCCACAAGTACTCCTTTTTCTTTTTGCAAATACAGACTAACATGGCTGCTACTCTGAAATTTATTAAGAAGCAGTGTGCTAAATGTAAAATATCTTAACCTGTCTTATAAAAAGAAGCAAAGTTGAAGTTTTTAATTTTAAAGATCCCAGAAAAAATCCCAGAATCTCTCCTTCACTCCTCTAATATAAAGACCTTAGACCATGACATAATAAACTTTTGTATTAAACACTGCAGTTAAGTTAACCCTCCACCCCCAAACTAACTTTGTTGTTTAGAAGGCACAACAAGATGGTACAAATAGACTACCTTGATTTGGACAAGAACACATAAAATGCTAGTATGTGGGGCTAATTGACCTATTTGTAACAAAGGCATTATTTTGTTTTACTGCAATCTGACATATTACATTGTTAACTTAGTTTCCCTTTTAGTATGTGCATTTATAAGTGAAGGCATGACAATTTTCAGAACTGAAATGTGTTTAAGGCTGAATTTTTTTTGGCAAAACTTCAGCCAAAGTGGTTCAGCTGTTTTCAGAATGAGTCTAGGGGGAAAATGTTTTGTTAGTACTAAAAAAAATAAATAAACCAATTTAAAAAAAAAATCTGGCTTTTTCTTTTGAGGAGTTCTAGTGGCCCAATGCTTGAAATTTGGCAGAAGGGGTGGACTTTGTCTGGGAAGTGCCTTTGTCATCTTTGTGAAAATCCACACAAATTTTGGCCAATTTATAAACCTTTGAAAAATCTCAGTTTACACATGCTCAGTAGAGACTTGCTGGAGCTTGTCTGACTGCACTAGGCATGCTCAAGCCTGGGTTGAGCAGGATGTTCCCTGCAATGGCACCAGAACTAAGAACAGGTAGCCTGTCTTTCCTGTGTTTATCAATGATACCCCTCCGGACCTTGTCCCTGCCTGTTTTGGGCCCAGGCAGCATGGAGGAGAAAACTGCCTCATTCAAATGCGGAGGAGGGAACAAGAGCTGGGGAGTAGATTGGAACTGAAGGCTGGCAGGGTGAATGGACTAGGATGGTCTGGGTGAGCAGACTGGAGCTAGGGTGGTAGACGAGGAACCTGGTGGGATGGGGGGACTGAGATGTGATGAGACTGGGAACCAGTGGGGTGGAACTGGAGGCAGGGAGGTAGATATGAAAAGGAGCCAGAGAGCAAAGGGAGAACTGGGACTGGTTGGGCAAAGAGACTGGGACAAGGATGAGGCGGGGAGACAGAACATTGAGCTTGGATGAGGAGCTCTGGGAGTCAGGTGGCATAGGAAATGTGGGGAGAGAAACAGATTGGATGAAGATCCTGGAAGGGGTGATTGGGACTGGATGGAGTCACAGGGTGAATCTGCCCTTTAAAGGGAGATGGGGCTGCAGCAGCTGTGCACTATTAATTAGCTGCTTCCCAGCCTGAGAGGGTGGGACTAAGAAGCATCGGGTGATAGTTCTTCTATAAGGTCCAGGTATCCATTACACTGAGCAAGATCATTCTGGGGGTTAGAATCACAGTAAGTGGGAAGGTTCTGAGCCAGGTTTTATGGGAGGCTTGGTACCACAGGGGAGCCAGCCTAGGGACCCAGGGTCCTATACTGGCATAGAGAAACCACAGGGAGAAAGCAGCCTTCTATGGAAAGCTCTGAGTTAGGATCTGAGAATGGTATTCTAGGGGAGCTAGCCTGAGGACAGTGATCCTGGTGATCTCCATACCAGAGCAGGACTAACAGAACCAATTGCAAGAAGACGCTTAGTGAAATGAAATGATCTGTCATTGGTTTAAAAATAAAAAACCTAAAAGCCCCACTTTCCATGGTGAGTTGGGCTCCTCATAAGCTCTGTAACAGGGATGTAAAAAGAAAATGCAATGGAGATTTTCATAACCAATGACACTACCCCTAACCAAGATGTTTTGCACATGAAATATGACTTTATTTTGTATAATGAATCTGGGATTCAGACTTTCTACCCAAATCCTGTTTACAACTTGCTATTTGACTTACAGATTTGTGAGACTTTGCTGTAGTAGGAGAAACAGTATTGTGTGTAATTTGGTCTTCCTTTTAGAAAAAGGATAGGAAGCCAAGTTGAGTGGCAGGAAGATCATAAAATCAACTGGCTTTGCTACCATTAAAATGAAAATATTCATTAATATTTCAGTGCCTTTCATAAGAATCTTTCCCAGAATTGTGTATATCTTATGCTTAGAGAAATCAGGAGGAAAACCAGACAACTGCTGTATGTTCATGTGACTTTTTTTTCTTTTTTCTTTTCCATTTAATGCTTGGGTACTCTCTCATCTGGCTTGCATACTGCTTCCCCCCCCCCCCCCCCCAGCCTCTCTTTCTCTATCTTGCTCTCCAATCTGTCCATGAGCCCCTTCAGGTCCCTGGGGAATACGTGAAACCATACGCTTTCATCAAAGATGAGAAGAGACGTCATTATGCAGGAATGGTATCCATTATGGATGAAGCTGTAGGAAATGTCACTGCAGCCCTGAAGAGATATGGGCTTTGGGACAACACAGTTCTCATCTTCTCTACTGGTAAGACTGTTTAGTCAAGTATTCTTCTGGTGACTCATTGAATGTTATGTCCAGTAAGCTGAAGAGAGACCAATCTAACCATGAAGTGATCCATTTCAGAATAGATTTTAAATGCACAGGAGCTATAAAAATAAAATTTTTTCCTAAAGGAGGATAAATCTGTTTTTCCCTCTTAAACATAAACAGTTTTGAGGGAGTGTTTCTGAAAACAAAGGATTAATTGTCTAGAACCATATGCAATGAAAGGCACTGTACAAACTTACTGAGAGCCTTGTGTGAGGTTCTGGGGGACTTCAATTTCCTTTAACTTCACTTGCTTTTGAGATTACAGTAGCTCTCAAGATTGAGCCTTTATTCACACAGCTCTACCAATTCATCTCAGTCCTAGAATCATAGAATATAAGGGTTGGAAGGGACCCCAGAAGGTCATCTAGTCCAACCCCCTGCTCGAAGCAGGACCAAATCCCAGTTAAATCATCCCAGCCAGGGCTTTGTCAAGCCTGACCTTAAAAACCTCTAAGGAAGGAGATTCTACCACCTCCCTAGGTAACGCATTCCAGTGTTTCACCACCCTCTTAGTGAAAAAGTTTTTCCTAATATCCAATCTAAACCTCCCCCACTGCAACTTGATTTCTAGTACCCATTATTTAATCTAGTTCCTGATTTCTAGTACCCATTATTCTAGGCAATATTCAAACTCTCCCTTTTTTTGTGTGTGATACAAACATCCAGCAGGGACTTGAGCACACCGGGTAGCGACAGATGCCCTGTGACACAACTGCCTGGACAATTTGTGTGGCCTCATGGTCAGAAACACACACCAAGCTGTTATCTTTCACCAAGGTACATATTTATTCTTTTCTTACAAAGTAACACAGGGTAATGCAGGATTAGAGCAAGGGGAGGCTTCCCTGCAGCCCTCACTCCTCAGCCCAGGTTCAGCTGCTGAACTTCCTTCTTAGTATCCCCTTTGCTTCCTGTTCCTTCCACTTATATCCTTCCAATTACATCGTTAGCCCAGTAATTACCATGCAGGTGCTCATAGTCCCCACAGTGTATAACTGGCTTCAGTTAAGCCTGTACTTTCCCTAGTGCTGCAGCAAACTCAGTGACCAGGGTGCTATTAATAGTCCCCTGTCACACTTCACCTGTGGCAGAGGCCTCCTTTGCTGCCTGTGCCCTACCCTCTTTATGGGGCTGGGCTTCTATGGACCACCAGTGGTGATCTCCTGCCTTCCACCCACAGAAGGTCCACTTTGAGGGTGGAGGTTTTCCCCACAGCTCTATCTCCACCAGTTGGTCATCAGGCCAATCACATCCCATGGATCTTTCCTCCAGTTTACTGGCTTATATCTACTCACACTAATTGTCTCTGTAGATCCACCATCTCAGGATCTCCCTCTTCCCTTGACATATTTTGCCTCTGGCTTGGGACTGTCAGGGTAGGTTCGCCCACCCTGATTTCCTTATCAGGACTCTTTTTTTTTTCTTTTTCCCCCCCCTCTCTCTTTCTGACTTGGTCTCCATCCTGTGCCTTGCCTAGGGCTTGCTCCTCCTAGAAGTCAGTCAAGCCTCTTCCCCCTTAAGTGTCCCTAAACTAGCACTCCCTGATTCACTGCCCCTTCTTGCTTTTTTTTCTCCTCCTCCCCCAAGTCCTCCAGTATGTCACATCCTTTCTGAAATGGTTACCATATGTCTAGGGTTATCACACACTGGACCTGGAGGGTCTAAACTCATGGGCTTTTTACGCAGACCTACCGGTTGGGGTCCCTTCCCCCATTGTCTACCCTTTTGACATAAGAGGAATGGGGTCCAGTCAGTTCCTATCATTACTGAGTAAGGCAGTGACTTCACTGTCCCTACTTGTTGTCCCCTGGGAAGTAGAAGGGAAGTTTTAGTTGGCAACTACCACAGGATAAGTGCTCTTTCCCAACCATGTATAGATTAAATAGTTATTGTCACCGCCTCCTGTCCCCACTGTGGCCTAACCAGGATGCTCTGTACAAGGGAACATGCTGTTGCTGAATCCACAACACCCTTTGTCATTCTTTGGCCTGCTGTGACAGGAATCATCCTTATCCCAGGTTCCCCTTTCATACCTGTCCACCGATAGAACTCTGCGATCCTGCAGGCAAAGTCTCTCTTTATGTGCCTTTGCCCTGCAATGGAAGAAAACTACTGTGTGGGTGACTGAGGCCGTCTTATTCATCCCTTGAACTCCCTTCCCAGGCTTCACTGCATGAGGTTCTTCAACCTTATTTTCCCCCATCTTTGGTCACTGGGTACAGAGCTCTTTCCATGGAAAATCCACCTCCACATACTCCTCTGTTAATATTATTGCTGCCTCTAGCAAGTCTGTCTGGTGCCTCTGAATCAGACCCTTGTCTTGGGGAGGCTCTGTGTAAACTGTTCCAGAATAGTGGAGTCCATTAGGGTCTCAATGTCCTGTCTATCCAGTTGCAACCACTGAGTGGCCCAGTCCAACAACTTCTATCCAAAGGTCCTGGGACATATCCTGCCATTCCAACTGTCTGCCCTGAATGTTTGGTAGTATTTCTCCAGTGACCGGCCCACCCTGTCTAAAATAGTGGCCTTCACTGTATTATAATCTTTGGCCTGGTACTAGCTCAGGGCAATATAGGTCTCCTGAACCTCAATGGCCAGATAGGAGGCTAGCTGGAGCGCCCATGCACCCTTGTCCCATCCAGTGTTAGTAGCCACCTGCTCAAAGAAGAGTAAAAAGGCATTGGGGCCATCCCCCAGAGCCATTTTACATAGCCCCAGGCCCACCATTCGATTTCCAGTCCCCCTCAGTGGAACTCACCAGCCCCTGCAGGAGACATTGCTGTACCTGGGCCTGCTCCTTGATAAACTCCTGTAATGTTCATTGCTCTTCCACCTAGGATGACCGCCCCTCCTGGATTGGGTGGGACAGTCCTGAAATGCAGAATTCAGGTCCCAATCTGGGCTGAATGGCTCTGGGACAGTATTTGTCCCAGATTCCCTGTAGCGCTGCTCGGGGTGATGTCAACCTCTTCCAGGGGTGGGGGAGTGAGAGGTGGGCCTTAGCTGGCCCAGCCCCCTACTCCTTCTTTTCCCTCCTGAGGCCCTGCACCTTGGCCAGGCCAGAAGCTGGAGCTGGGCAGTAGTAAGAGCACCCCCAGACCCTCCACCTGCTCTGGGTGGCATGCCCTGGGGGTGTGAGGACATAGGCTGGGGGCTGCTCTCAGGCACCCTGGCCCTCTGCCCAGGGTAGGTAGATGGTCCAGGGCTCCCCACAGCAGCCTAGACTCCCTGGGTGATTCTTACAATGGCCCAGCTCCAGCTTCTGGCCTGGCCCTTGGGCAGGGGCAAGACTCCTGCATGTGTCCCGCCTTTTGTCTTTTGAAAAAGTGGTCACCCTAATTTCACATGCCAATGCAGAAGTGCTTGCCTCTCCACCTGCTATGTCTTTATCTCCTTTTGTTCTTCCACCAGCTAGTGCAGCATCTCGTTTGTTGTGCCTGGATCTCCTGCCCTCATGCAGGTCTCCCTCCAGTTTCTTCCTCTCGGCTAAAGCAACCACCTTTTCAAAAGACAAAAGTGGGACACCTGTAGGAGCCCTGTTCCCTGGGGCCCCACTCCCTGACCAGGCCAGAAGCTGCTGTAAGAATTCCTTCAAGGGTGGGAACATGGGCCAGGGGCTACTCTTGTGCACCCCAGCTCACCACCCAGGGCAGGTGGAGGGTCTGGGACTCCCCACAGCCACCCGGACTTCTTGGGTGGCTCTTACTATTGCCTGGCTTCTGGCCTGGCCAAGCGGCAGGGTCTGAGGAGGAGCATGGGGCATAGCCTTGTGCGTGGGGAATAAAATCTGCCTCCGCCCCCCTCCCCAGCCCCAGCTGGTGCCACCACTGAGCCTTGGGCAGGCGTAGAGTGGCACTGCAGGGAATCTGGGACAAATGCTGTCCTGGAGTCATTCAGCCTGGGACCAGGCCTTGAACTCTGTATTTTGGAACTACCCAATTCAGGAAAGGTGGTCACGCTACTCTCAGCTGAGAGAGCTACAGCTTGTGGACAAGCCCCCACATGTCAGGAAGGGTCTCTGTCACTACCCAGTGTACTCAACTGCCTGGCCAGTTTGTGTGGCGTCCTGGTCACAAACCCACACTGAGCTGTTATCTTTTCTCAAGGTGTATATTTATTCTCTTCTTACAAAGTAATACGGTGCACTGGAGGTTTACAGCAAGGGCGGGTGGGGGACTTCCCCACAGTGTTTACTCCACTGCACAGGCTCAGCCTCTGAGCTTCCTTCTGAGCTCCCTCTTGCTTTCTGGTCCTCCCAATTAAATCCATTAGCCCTGTGATTTGCACCAGGTGCTCATAGTCCCCCCCCCCCCCCCAACAGAAAGTGTAAAATTGGCTTCAATTAAGCCTGCACTCTTCCCAATGCTGCAGCAAACTCAGTGACCAAGGTGTCACCACTAGTATCCTATCAAAAATTGGTTGAGGCAAAACATCTGTGTGTTTGTGTATACTCTTTGGCTTGACAGTAATATTACTTTGGGCCCTGAGCCTCCTGAAGCAAATTTCCACTAATAAAACCAGCTTTGATACTTCTGATGGATTTTTAATCTATCAGATTTAGACTGAAAGCTCTTCAGGGCAAGAACTGTTTCCTACTGTATGTTTAGCACACTGGGGACCCAATCTTGGTTAAAACTTCTAGGCTACTACTGTAATATTAAAAATAAATATACTTCTGCACTGAATGGAACTGAATTTAGCTGAAATCTAGAAGCCTTCACAGGATTCAGGGGAATAATGCAATATCCTGCATCCTTCAAAATGTCTTTCACCCTCCCACTTTGTCTGATTTGGGAGTGGGAATAGCCCTTCAAAGCTTCCAACCTCTACTATACCCAGGTTTTACTTAATAGGGTTTGCTTGAGGGTAGGGCAGGAATTCCTGAACATCTCACTTTGTATTCATTTAAATATTTTGAATTTAACAGCTTTGGT